GTGAAACGTGCTAGTAATTTAAAGAGTTTATTTATACGTTTTTATAGTTTAGAAAGCAAAGTTATATTTCTCAATAGTTTAAGGAGTTCATTTTTACGCTTTTATAGTTTATGGGATTAAAGTGATATTTTTAAATAGTTTCCATGTAATAAAATTTAACAATTCCTTATAAGATTTGAGTACTAGGCTTCATTATAAAATTGGCATACTCTTAGGAATGCCACCAGGTGGGTTTGTCATCCCCCGTCCCCGCGGATAAATCCCACCTCCGCTCCCTTCCCAACCTCGTTGCAGATGAAATTTTTTAACCTCATTCCCGCCTCCATAAATATTCGCAGATACTCAATACCCTGCGAATACCCAACCACATTTCAAATAGCCAAAAAAATTAAAAATCATTTAAATTCTTGACATACTAAATAATTTCTCTTATTTTCATATATATAAACAATGAGACTTTTAGGATTATTATTTATTTATATTTAAACAGAATCATAGACTTTTAATATTCTTTTCTCATATCTAATTATATTATATTATATTATTTATTAATGAGTTAATTACTTAAAAGTCTTGTTTACAAATATTATGATAGCTCAGGTCCTATCTAAGATTTTTTGAACCAATAAGTCCAATTTAGTAAAACTGAGAATATTATCAGTTTTTTCAAATTTTTAAAACTAAGAATATTATCAATTTTGCATAGTAATATTTCAGATAATTGTTTCACTAACTAATAAAAAAAACAGTGTACGAGATGAAACATTTTTGTCATTCTACTTATTGGTTTGATTAACTATCCAATAAAACCGAGAATATTATCAGTCTTTTTTCAGTTTTAAAAATGAGAATATTATCAATTTTTTCATTTTTAAATTTTTTTTTTTTGGTTTAGTTTTTCACATCAATGTTCTGTCATCATGTTCATTTATAGATACAAGATTTTCAATTTTGCACAAAAACAATTCAGTTTTTTAAATTTTTCAAAAAAACAAAAACTTTATTTTGATTTTTTTTTTTGGCACATTATTTATTTTTTTTTTAGTTTTTTCAATTTGAAAATTGATATTTTAAAGTTTTTAAAATCAAAATAAATGTCAAATCATCATGTTCCTTTATAAATAATCATAAATGATAAACAATTATTACTTAAAAGGCAATTCTGACTATTAAAAATTTAATGGGATTTGAATGTCTAAAAAATCTTAATTAGAACTTAATGGAATATAAGTTCATAAATTAGGATTTGTGTATAAATGTCCCTTTATTTATAAATATTTTTAATTATGTCGGGTCGAGTTTGAATCAAGAGAGGTGATACATGTTCCCGTCCCACCTCATTGCGGGTGACCAAAAGATAATCCACTCCCGTCCCACATAAGTGTTGGGTTGGATAAAATCCGCCCCATTCGGGCAGGTATGAACGGGCCCCCGCGGATCGGGTTAAAATGATCACCCCTTTACTCTAACCAATTTAACTAAATTAATTATTATTAATTTGTTTACTAACATAAAATATTCCTATCATATTTATTACAACAATGATTCATCCCACTAATTTGAGAGCACTAATGGACCATTAATGAGGTGGAAATTCCAAAAAAAAAAAAAACACAAGAGCAAAACATCCCATCATGTGGGACTCACACCACTTTAAAACTATTAGTACTCTTCTTTTTAGTGGTCTCACTCATTTTTGTATTTATTATTATATATTCTGTGGAAAATTAGTGAAATATCATTCTCTAATTTTGGGTAGTAAAAGAGATTCAATATATTTTTTTTATTATTATTAACTAAGATCCCTCAATGGAATTTCGATGTGAAAAGTGACACTTCTCTATGAAAAAGTCAAAAAATTTCTGTGAAAATGTTAAAAGACCCTAATTATTATGAAAATATTGTATGTCATTTTTTTATAAAACCTTAAGATCATGGGTTCAATTTTTCTAAAACAATAAGAACTATTTTAGTTTCTGATTTACCCTAAAATCAGACTAATCCAATTTGTGGTCACCTATAGAATGTGGTAAAGAGAAAGGAAAAAGAACAAATTTATTTTGAAAATAAGTAAAAATATTATTTTATTTCTAAATTTTTTTAACAATTTTGTTTTGCTATAATTACAAACTAAATTACTAATTATTTTACCAACTACTAAAAATTAGTAATTTGGTTTGTATTTTTATTTTTTGATATAATTGTTGAAAAGTTCAATCTAAAGAGGGTATAAGTATTAGATTCAGTAAATATTTTTTATTAGTGAAAAATTCACCCTTTTGTGAAATAATTTAGTAAGAAGCCCTTTTGTTTGTTTTGAAGGATATTTTATTTTTAATTTTATCCCTTAATTTATCTGTTGAATCTTTTTATATGTTGACTTTTGTTGACTATCTATTTAAATTGTTTCCTATCTGTTCAAAAATTTTCCTATCTATTCAATTTTTTTACCCTATCTTTTCAATTTTTTAATCTTTTAAATTCAAATTTCCCTTATTTATTTACATTTTTCCAAATAAATTTTTATCCATTCAAATTTAATATCTGTTCAATTTTTTTTGACTGTCTATTTACTTTTTTTTTTCCTTATCTGTTGAAATATCTGACCAAATTTGATTATATGTTGAATTCTATCTGTTAAAAGAGATTATTTGTTCAAATAAACCTTTCAAAAAATCTATCTGTTGAAATTATTTGTTAAAAAAAATGTATCTGTTGCAAATCTATCTGTTCAAATTCTCTCTCTCTCTCTCTCTCTCGACATTATATGTATAAATAAAATTCAACTTTAACGACAAAAAAATATAATAATTTGACCACATCTAGATGTGAAAAATCTGTTGCAATTTGTTTCATCATCATCATCATCAACAACAACAATAATAATAATAATAATAATAATAATAATACTAATAATCAACCACCAAAAAAAATAGAGATCTGTTCGTCTCAGATCAGTGATCTTCTCCATAGATCCAGATCTACCATAATAACATTAATCAACCGAAAAAAAAAATTAGAGATTTGTTAGTTTTTTTTCTCCACATTTACAGGTCTACAAACAAAAACCGAAGAGTAAGAATCTTCATTCACCTATGTCTAATACAATCGTTTGGGTAACTTCACAACTAGTTAGGGCATTTCCATCTCTTTCTCAAACATATACCACACATATAAACCTATTTTGGGAAGTGGGTTAAAAGCCACTTCCCAATTTTTAACCCACTTCACTCTCTCACAAAAAAGTCAAAAAAGTCAAAAAAATAACTTTTAATTATCTTTCCAAAACACCCCATATATATATGTATATATATACGAACGGTTTGAGGTTGAAAACCAAGAGAGAAACAAAGAGAGAAGACATGCGGTACTTGCTCTAGCTACACCGCTGCCGTTATACCACAGTGGCAACAGTGGTAGTGGGCGTCGTTCAAATTTGTAAAAGAAAAGAGAGAGCCAGGAGTGACGATAGTGGCCAGATCATGCTTCTCATCACCTTTGATCATCGATCGCGCTTCTTCATTAAAGTAGGTGTGTGTAACAAGGGTCTGTGTACTCTTTTGATTTTTTTTTATCATGAAAGGGTATAGTTTGCATAATTGTGTATACTTGTGTGTAATGAGAAACTTATATAATTTTTAAGTATGTGAATTGAGAGAGATATACACTAAGGTCATGTTCGTTTTACTCTTGAGGGGAGGATTGGACTCATAAAGACCCATCAAAAGAGTGTTTAGTTAGAGACATGAATGAAGGGATTAGCTACCCTTTGGGTTAATAATCCTCAATGGTAGGACTACCAATCCTATGGGGATTGGGATTAGGAATTTTTAGATAATTCTTACGTAAAATTTATATTTTTTAGAACCAAAAAAAATTATAATATTAAAAAAAATATTAATTTTATATATTAATACTATCCATAGTATTGCTAATCTGGTGATGTACAAATAAAAAAAATTTATCCAACATCTCCAACTTAATACTACCGCACTATAAGTTGTTGTTTGGCAATAGACTTTTTTAGTTGATTTTTTATCTTTTTGGCTATTTTAGTTTGGAACTAAAAGTTTGTTTGGTTTGGCATTTTTGACTTTTGTGAGAAAAAAAATAAAATGATTATGGTTTTGATAATTTAGTAACTTGGCTAAAATATTTTAGGTCATATCACCTCTCTACTTTTTAATATTTTTTTTAAAAAAAATTTAAAAAGTTAAAAAGTCAGTTTTTAACTAACTTTCCAAAGCAAGCATTTGTCTCACTGAATTATTTAGCCTATTTTGTCTTTTGTATTTTTTTAGTCCAAAAAACCAATGCCAAACAAAGCCTAATAATCTCCTCCCTCAATTTTACCGTACTCTTAATTTCTTTCCTCCTATAGAGTCAAATAAATGTAGCATGAGAGTAAATGATACGTAGAAACAACAATGATAGAGACCACTAATTTTGGAGCTGTAAAAAGATCACTAATGACATGACACTCAATAAAAAAAGAAAAAAAATACAACACCAAAGCCAAAATATCAAATCATTTATGGTAGGGCCTACTGCCACATCATTAGTGGTAGCACTAATTAGTGCTCTCACTCATTTTCCATGTAGAAATAAGAAATCAGAATAAAGTATAAAATCATATCACTAAGGCCCTGTTTGGGAAGAGTTATTTGGGCTAAAATAGCCAATAAAAAAAAATATATTAAAATAGAAAAATGATCCGTCTCCCCTTTCCCCCACCCCCTTTGACCTCCTCTCTTTCGGATTAATCAATTTTTTTTTTCTTCTCCTCCAATCACCACCCGCCACGTGTATGTGAGTGGTGATTGGAGGGGTCTCAATCACATTAAAATAATCAATAAAATAAAATATCACATTCAATTAATAATGATTTTATTTTTTCTCTTACAATTATCAAATTAAATAAAAATAAAAAAATTCACCTATCTTATGCAACATAATTTTTTTAATATAGTCAACTTGTGAAACGATGCCTTAATAAATTAAAATTGACAGACGAAATCCGGAAAAATCCCAGGCCGTTGCCATCTCTACTGAAAACGCAACAGCAGGGACGGACGATGTTTTAGCTCTTCTTCTTCCTCTCAGATATCATTCCTCTTTCAATTCAATTCCTCTCTCAAACCCTAATTTCTGAAAAATTACACACACACACACACATTTGTATACTCTTCACTCTACCCCCTAGTGTTCAGTATTATTAGGGTTTAAATCTCAGCTCTCTTTTTGATTCTTTGATCCCATAAATGAACGATTACACCACCACCACCGTGTGCGGCAACTGCGGCGCGGCGGAGCACCGGCGGCTCCTCCACCACGTCCGCCACCGCGGGATCTTGCGCCGCCTCTGCACCACCTGCGTCCTCCGCCTCCACCCTCACTCCTTCTGTCCCACCTGCTTACTCATCTACGACCTCTCTCCACCCCCCTCAAACGACACCGTTTCCTGCTTCAAATGCTACTCCTCTTCTCACTCTCGCTGTGTCTCCCCCAACCCTCCTAAGCCCTACATTTGCCCCCCTTGTGCAAACCCTAATCTCCCAATCTTCACTTTGAAGAAAGTCGAAGACGAAGTGGGTAAAGGTGGGGATGGGAATTGCCAAGAGATTGATTTGAAGGCGGCCAAAGTGCTGCTCGTGGCTACCAGGATTGCGGCGGCTTCAATGAGTATAGCGGCGGTGGCGGCGAGGGCGGAGGCGGAGCGGAGAGTGAAGGAGGCGGCTTTTACGAGGAAGAGAGCGAGGGAAGCTTTGGAACATGTTGGGTTTCTTCTTGCCAAAGATAAATTGAATCATAAGTGTGGTAATAATAATAATAATGCTAGTAGTGTTGGTGTTGTGAAGGTAGAGGCGGTGAAGAAACGGATTGGTAATCAGGGATTGGATTGTGCGAATGAGGTTTCGGCGCGTTTAAATGCTGTGGGATTGAGGGAGAATGAGAGGTTACAAAGATTTGGAAGACAGAGTAATAACTGTGCATCAATGGCTGTGGAGAGTAATGAAAAACTGAGATTGAACCCAGCTTCTAAAAATGACAGACCTGGTAATTTGGATCACTTGGGGAACAATATTGCACACGGGGAAAAAGTGAATCATGGGTTATATTCAGTTCCTCCTGTAGGAGCTGAGCTGCAGCATATGCAAAACAATCGTGGTAGGGAAGAGAATATTGGCTCGAATCAATCATTTCTGTAGGATGAACACAAGGTGGGAAATTTTTACTTTGGTGGTGTTTTTGATTGATTAAAATGTTGTTTTATTTACAACAGTGATTCATTCTCCCTTTTCCCCCCACCCCCCTTTGACCCCCTCTCTCTCTCTCATTGGTTACATTTTCTTTTTCTTTTTCTTTTTTTTCCTGTGCCTCCAATCACCACCCGCCACGTGGCAAGGGGTAAGGGGGTGAAGAGAATATTGGCTCGAACCAATAATTTCTGTAGGATGAACACAAGGTGGGAAATTTTTACTTTGGTGGTGTTTTTGATTGATTAAAATGTTGTTTTATTTGTGTATTTATTTGTTTTGTATTATTCTTTGAATTGCAGGTGTACAAGGTTTCTGAGACTAACTCTGGGGGTACACTCATGGGATTGTGAATGGAATGAGATTTGCGTCTGTGAGTTGTATTTGCCAGACCAAGTGATATTTTGTTGGTACATACCATTTGTCAATCTAGTTTGATTCCTTGATCCTATGTAGAGATAATTAAGATGATCTTACATGATTTATATTTATCTTTCGTTGGCAAAGTCAAGTTTGATCTTTTATATGTTGTTCTGTACTTTTGCTAATCTTATATGTTTTCTGCATCACTGTTATCATATAATCATTAGTTCCTTAGTTTGTTGAGTTCGGTGTATTTGGTTGTTCAAATAGGTTTGGTATGTCTAGACTCAAGTTTCAGTGTGTGCCTTTGATGGGTTTGCTAATTTCATCCTTGTTAAGGAATTGATCAAGTCATTTGTAGAATTTAAAATGCCCTTTTAGAAAATATCTCATTTTAGGAGGTTTCTATTTGATTTCTTTTTCTTTTTTTTCTTTTTGATGTTTCCTAGTTTGAATGCACCAAGATTTAAAGCTAGATTTGTTTATGTGTGTGTGTATATATATATATATATATGTACAGATTACGAAACTTAGAGATGGTTTTGCTGCTTCTCTCTGTTTTAATCTTCAACAATTCTCTGTCTCCTTGTGCATATTCTAATTGATGTCTAGAGATTCCAACAAGGTATTTTGTGAAAAGAATAATAATTGTTAAATATAAAACTCGGGGTGTTTGAGATTGGCTCTAAAATAGCCTATTCCAAGTTAAAATAGCCAATAAAATAAAAACATTCCATTGCATCACTTTTTAATTTTTACATGTCTTTTTATAAAAAAAATTAAATAACTAATTAAAATAGCCTACTCTCATGGTCTCAATTTGTTCAAATACTAAAAACTATTGTAGACCGTTTTAATCTCACAATCTTAAACCATCAACTATGGCAGGCCTTAGCCCACCAAATAAGCAATTGTAGGGGAGCATTGTTTTGAACTTATTAAAATAGTCTGTTTGGAGTTAAGAAAACATTGGGACCATGAAAATGCAGACTTGAGCCAAATGAGTTTTGTTAACACTTTATGGCACTGGTTAAAGATGCATTAACTCATCTTAATTAATTTTATGATCATAAAAAATTAAATAGGTATTGTTAGAGATCAAATTACTCCTCTTTAATTGCCTCTATTTTTATATACTTTTTATAATAGAATATTTTTTAACATTTTTTTTTTTATAAAAGTGAATGCCCTATAATTTTAAATGAAACATTTTGTGGCTTTTTAAAAATTAAAAAAAAAAAATTAATGCCCTTTATTTTTAAAATTTTAATGACATTTTCCTTGCACCATGTAGTTTAATTATAATTGAGCATAAAGGACATTTACAAATTTTTTTTTAAAAATCCAGAAAATGTCATTTAAAAATAAAATTTCTTTGTTGATTAATATTATGGAATTTTTATATTTGTTATAATTTTTAGATTTATTTTTCTTGCACCATATAATTTAAGTATGATTGAAATTTAAAAATTAAAAAAAAATCACAAAATGTTATTTACAGAAATAAAATTCAATTTTATAATTAAAAAATGTTTAAGAAATTCCATTATGAAAAGTACATAAAAATAGAGGCAACTAAAGAAAAGGTGATTTGGTCTCTAACATTGCAACATTTATAACCTATTCAATTTTCTATGATAGTGGGGCTGGTTAAGGTAAGTTAATGCATCATTAACAAGTGTCCTATATTCACCAAAACAAATATAAAAAAAACAAGTAAATTTACAATGATATAGTTTATTAAAAGTGAATAATAAGTGAGTGTTGCAAATCTTGAAAAATTAAACTCAAGGAAACTTTTCCTTTTTTTGTTGTTTGACTCTTGTTTTTATGGGATGAAAGTTGTGTCAGATAGAAAGTAGTCTGGTGGGAGATGGAGAGTAGTAGAGGATTCAATGAGGCTTTGTTATGGAGAAAATGAGTGTTTTAGGTTAATACAACAACCTTTTTGCGTTCCCCCACCCCCCTTTCTTTTCTCTCTCATTTATTCCAAAACCCTATCCTGTCTTTGAGAGAGAGACGAACAGAGAAGGGTAGGGGCAGAGGTGAAACACAGAGGACGATGGTCGACGGTGACTCCGGTGGCAACGTGAGGGGAGGCGGCCACGAGGTCATTCTCAAGATCTACAAGAAAAACATCTTCGGTCTCTCAAACGATCTTTGCCATTTTTGTTTCTGCAAGAAAAACATCTCTTCCAAAGCAATTCAATGAAAGGGTTGTTCACTTCATGGTCATCAATGATATATGGGCAAGTTTACATGAAAATTGCAATTTTAATGGATCATCAAATTCTTTAATGTTGTGTTTGGTTGGGGATTTGAGGAAGGATTTGGAAAGGTAAATGAAAAAAGTTGGTGAAATGTAAATAAAACATACATATATTTCACCTAGTTTCACATACCTTTTCTATTTCCCTTTTCAAATATCTCCTCAAATCCCTCAACCAAACACAGCGTAAGGCAATCTATCAAACAGATGGTGTGAATCCCGTTAGAGAATACTTGAATTAGTAGGAAATCCAAAGCCTATCAATGGTGATCATGTAGAAATTGGTTGAGGCTAATTGTTGAACAGGTGGAGGCAAAAAATACCGAGATTTTATAAACTCTTCAAAACAAAAGCTCTCGAATTTTCATGGCTTGTTTTTCTGCAACTCAACTATACTGTCTTTCGCGGATGCTCATACTCTCTTTCATGGACACTCTCTTCATGGGATTGGTAGTTTTTAGATAGAGAAAGGAAGAAGAAGAAAGAGGAAGAACGACGTTATTTTAGAAGCATGACAGGGAGAACGGCAGGATTTCACGGCAGAGGATCCAGAACATGACTAAGAAAACATGACTAAGAACAACAATCTACCATTTGAGTCCAATGATAAACAAACATTTAAACAATAGTGTTCAAAAAGTATGGAGACTTCTAAAATAATATTGTGTTTGTGTTAAAGACGTGTTAAACTCTGGCATTTGTCGGCCACTCAACACATGTCCAATGGTCCTTTTTATTTATTCATTCTTCTTTTTTTTTTCTACTTTTACAATCCATTATGTTTCAGACACTTTGGGGATGTCTGTTGGACACATTGCAGGTATAATGAAAATGACATGGAAGTTATGATTAAAATCAACACAAATATCTATTAATTCCTCTTATTTTTTTAATTTGAGAGAATTACATTAACATGTGTTGAGTTAAAAAATATTACAAAAATATGAAAAACATTATAAACATTTAGAAGTGTAGATACAATATTTTAGTAGGGCTCCTCACTTGACCTCTCTCTCTCTGTTCTTTGTGTATCTTTTTTGGGTTTGACCATAGAGGGGTAACCTCTGGAGCTAGGCCTTAGAGGTCACCTTTAGGTGGTTATTGCATAGCAAGATCACTTAATTATGTAACGATAAGTCACGGACTCGCACACAGACGAAAATTCAAACCCACACTTCTGACATTGGGTATGGTTCGCCCAGGCTTGAAAAATTTGTCCTACCAAACATATGTGTATGTGTTGTCGTCCAGATGACTAGTCCCAGGAAGAGTGAAACTTGAGACCTTAAGACTTATATCCTAAAATCTTACCAAAGTGCCGCGTCTCGTTGAGTTTGTGTATCTTTTTTATTCTCATTTAGAAAGAGGAGAATGTGACAAAAGTATATCTAACTGGGATGACTTTCTATACACTTTTTTGAGAAGAAAACTCTTTAAACAAATTGATATGATATGCTAGGTACCCTTGATTGCCTTTCCCTCTTTTACTTCTTGCAGAATCTTCAATGTTCTTCTGGTTAATGTTTCTTTACTTTAGGAACTGTGTGCTGCAGTTCCCTGGATTCATTGATTTCTTTCAATTACAAATAACAATGATTCATCCCACTAAAAACATCACCATTAATAGCACTAATGCATTAAAAAAGTAAAAAAAAAAAAAAAAAAAAAAAAAAATACAACTCCAAGACCAAAACATTACATCATTAATGACGGGACCCACTGCCACCTAATTAGTGGGAGCACTAATTAGTGCTCCCAAGCATTTTTCTTATTAAAAATCCCTTTTCTAGAATGTGTCTTAGACAACCTAACCATTGGGATAGTTGAATGGTTCTGGGGATACTAATTGAGTTTATTCAATATGATTGTCATAGTTCTTTGGAACAATAGGCCTGTTTGGTAGAGCTTTTTTACAGTTTATTTCAGTTTTTAACTTAACTATTTCATTTTGTTTGGTGTAGCTTAATAATACAGATTATAGCTTTTAATAAATGAAAAATCAATTTTTTGTTGAAGTGGCTGTGGGGTGCTTAATTATTCAGCTTAAGCGGCAAACTGGGAAAGGAGGGGTTAAATTACTTAAATGTCCCTCATCAACTTCAATTATTACCAAAAAACCAAGATATAAACCCACAACCAAACACTGTTCACTTCTTCAGAGAGAGAGGAAGCTTGAGAAATGATTTCCGGCTGCAATTTCAGGTGGCGTGAACCAACTCTCTCTGGTGGCGTGAACTAGCTCTCTCCCTCTCTCTCTCTCTCTCTCTCTCTCTCTCTCCGACGTGAACTAGAGCTGGCTCTGTGAGCTCTCTCTGTCTCTCTTCACAATCACAACAGATCTCTCTCTCTCTCTCCGGCGTTGTTCGCAACAGATCGCGATAGATCTCTCTCTCTCTTTGTGATCGCGGCAGATCTGTGTCTTTCCGTCGTTGTTCGCGGCAGATCGCAGCAGGTCTCTTTCTCTCTCTTCGTGATCACGACAAATCTCTCTCTCTCTCTCTTCGTGATCACGGCAGATCTTTGTCTCTCCGGCGTTGTTCGTGGCAAATCGCGATAGATCTCTCTCTCTTTCTCTCTCTCTCTCTCTCTCTCTCTCATAAAGCATTTTAAGCCATTAATGAAATAAATTTTATATTAATTGATACTAATTAATAATTTTAATATTAATTGATACTCATTAAGCCATTAATTGATAATAAATTAAATTAAAAAAATATTAATTGGTATTTGTAACAATTTTTAATAAATTAAAAAATATAAATTAATATTCATGTATTTATAAACTAAAATGAATATAATTTGAAAATTTTAATTAATAATAAAGCATTTTAAGCCATTAATGAAATAAATTTTATATTAATTGATACTAATTAATAATTTTAATATTAATTGATACTCATTAAGCCATTAATTGATAATAAATTAAATTAAAAAAATATTAATTGGTATTTGTAACAATTTTTAATAAATTAAAAAATATAAATTAATATTCATGTATTTATAAACTAAAATGAATATAATTTGAAAATTTTAATTAATAATAAAGCATTTTAAGCCATTAATGAAATAAATTTTATATTAATTGATACTAATTAATAATTTTAATATTAATTGATACTCATTAAGCCATTAATTGATAATAAATTAAATTAAAAAAATATTAATTGGTATTTGTAACAATTTTTAATAAATTAAAAAAATATAAATTAATATTCATGTATTTATAAACTAATTTGAAAAAAAAATATAAATATAAATTGTCATGATCAATCTCACCATGCATGTTACAATATTAATTTGAAAAAATAAACTATAAACTAAATAAAATAAAATAAAATGAAAAAAAAAGGAGGGGCAAAATGGACATTACACAGTAAAAAGCTATTTTATAACTTATTCAACCAAACACTACTCTACTGATTAAATCCATAATCCCACAACTACACGAAACAAGTTAACAGCTTATGTTTAAAGCTATAATCTATAATCTGTTAAGCCATAATCTATAATCACGTTTCCACAATTCTACCAAATATGGCCAATATCAATGTCGTGGATCCACAGAAAATGCAATTTCAAATTTATCAAAGAACCTCATAAACACGGGCAGTAAAAACAACTTATACTAGGAATATCTAAGAATGAAATTTGGGTATAATAACAATTTCTTATACTAGGAGAGAACTAAAGAAGTGCTCAAATCTATTATATCTACAAATATTAGGCGGTGTAGTTTAGGAAAATACACATCGATGGTAATGAAAGCATTTGGTTTGAATACATCAAATCCTATGGCAAACCTAACAGAAACATCTAGAAGAAAGGTAATATAAGATACCCATCTTATTATCTTCACCTTTTTCCTATTCCTTCTTCTTTTTTTTTTCTTTTCTATCAACTGAAAAATTGGTAGCCAGCCACATTATTCAGACAATTTCATCTTCATGGACACTCAACTAAGAGAGTAAAGCATTAAAAGTCTTGCATTCATGTATTGCTTTTTATCATATTATCAATCACAAAGTAAATAAGACAGACAATAAAAATTAAACAGAACAATTCATCTACATAATATGCAAGATAATATTCTTCTTTCAATGGCATCAACACCAAGGGCTTACTATTAGGATTTTTTTGTGGCACGGATTCAAGTCATGGAAATAGACCCTTTAGAAATGAGCGTAAGATTGAATACATCTTGCTATCCCCAAACACCACTTTAATGAGAATCTTATGCAAGGGGGTCATCCTTTTGTCTAGAAGTTATTGTGCCCGACATGCATATTCTTAACCAATGGCAACAAGTTAAAGCAATCAGACTGACACAAAAGCCAGATTAAGGTCTTTTCCAACAAGATGACCTCCAAACAGATGCAAAAACATTAGTGCATGAATATTGAATACTAATTAGTCAAGAATTCCTACAATTTTTGCATCAAGAAGAGAGGGCTAAGACGATAAAGCCACGGCATTGTAGTAATAAATAAATACCATACAAACATCTAAACTTAAGTTGTGAATACATGCTTTATATGTGCTAATCTGACCTCAAAATCAATTACATCACTTTTGACAAGGGAAAATAGAAACAATTACATGACTAGAAACTTTATTTAACAATTCTGCTAAGCAAGAGCATAATTAAGTTCTTACCGACAAAAATTACATGCATATCTTCAAGGTAACTTCAAGAACAGGGTAAAAAGGAAGCATATAGGACCAAGACCTCAAACAAAAACAGCTACAGAATGTAGCTGTGTTCACATACCCCAACAGAAAGCTTGGCTAGATTTTCATGGCTCTATAAACTGCCACCACATTGAAACCTGTAGCAGCATGCATAGTTCTCGGGTGTCACGTTTTCTCTCACATAGTACCTTGGTTCTGTGATACACATCATAGGTGATTAAGTGGTTTCCACCTTAAGATCACCAATTTAAAAGCAAAAAAGTAACATAATCCACTGTCGTAACTTTGGCTGTTCTTATATGTCTGCTGTGTTGCAAGGTCTAACGTTTCTTTGCTCGCTAAACAAATCTCCTTCTCCATCTCGAGTTTAATCACCAACATCAGCAATTAATTTTCATTTTGATTTTCCTTCCACACTGCGATTTAGAACCAACCACCTACACTCGTAACGACATGACCATCGGAGGCAACAAATGCTTACAAACTAATTCCTCAATGTGTTGCACAAACATATAAGTCTACAATGGGATAACTTGCTTGATGTCTTATCAAGCTTGAACTTCTTCCACATTGTTTCTATGAAGATTTTGTTAACTATAGCCATATTTGAATTCATCAACTTCCTGCAAGGTTGAAATATCTAATGAAAGAGGACAGGTGGACCTATGCTACATACAACAGGGGATAGTAGCAAATGTCTAGCAACTTTACAACCTCAGTAAAGTCAACTTTGTCCAAGCAATCTTTCTAATTTCCCAAGATTCGAACTACAACCACCACCAACATAATCATCCCTATGCACCTACTCAACCGCCTCGAATTAACTTGCAAAGCTACCAAATCTATAATCGATAATTCTTGGAAAAGAAAGCCTCCTATTAACTATTCCTAGTTCCAACCAACCAGCATGTATGTCATACCCCCACAACTATCTACCACACCCTTTTGCATAATTAAAACTAGGTTCTGGTTGAGTTTATGTACCAGCTACAGACCCCAAATCAGGGTTGGACTCTGCAACAGTGATGTTAATCGGCTGCCATCCTGACTGATTATGTGCAATCCACTTCTTTGCATTGATCACCAGGTGTAAAATCTGAAGTACATCACCCAAAGCAAGCTCTTTTAAACACATCTTCTTCATAATAGTAGCAGCTTCATACCTAACGGATTAAGGAATATTAAAACAAATATTTGCAGTTGGATGAAATTCAAAGAAGCCAAAGTAAGTAACTTGAAGCAAACTAGTAGGTAGGCATTTTACCTGCATTGAGAAGCCATTATTGCTGATCGTCCAGCGGAGGATATCAAAAATTTCTGGATTTGATCCCATGTTGGTTTTGGATAGTGCTTAGGATTACCCCCTATAGGGTTCACACACTTCCATAGTTTCTCATTCTTACCGACATACAATTGCAAAGCACCTAAATTCTGCTTTACAACCAGCTGCTGCTCAACAGCACTGTCTAGGGCTTTCTTAACATCAGTGTTGGGGTGCTTGGGGTCCCCATAACATATGCAATCAGCTATATTTGCTTCGGTTGGCATAATCTTCTCAGTTTTTAATGTGTTCAAGGCAAGTAAAACTACCCCGATTAGGCCTTGGACATATTCAGAAGGTTTGGGGCACCCTGGAGTCCCCCATACACCATTAGCAGAGATATTAGTGGTACCCATTGCTGAAGAAGATGATGGCATAACTTCTGGACCATTTGGGTGCCTTTGGTTCGGCGTGTCATGGTGAAATGGTGGTCTGTTCTGCGCGATATGTCCTCTTTGTGGAGCGTTTAAATTTACATTGTTTGGAGACTCAAATATATAATTTTGTTTCAGCTCTACACCATTTCGTGGTTGAGAAGTAGAAGATTTGTAATCATTGCTGGGGTATGCAGAAATATTTAGCTTACCAATATTGGGCACATTTGTTGGAGGACCTGAGGTGAAGTTTGGTCTATCAGGCCTCAGAGGTATTGAATGAGAAGCCTGGGTGTGCAAATCAAGTGGACGCAAATTAGGTACAAATGCATGTTGCAAAGGGAGGTTGTTTGGTCTTACTGGCTGCGAAAAATGATTTTGGTAAGTGCTCTGAGGGTTATCGTTGTTGGTCCAGGAAAGGTCAGAATTACCAGGAATGAAGTTTGGGGCAGGTCCACTTACGGGGCCTCTGGGATTATAAGCACTAGATAATTCCTGGGTGTCCTTGAATTGCTTAGCATGTGTATGTCCAGGTTGACGATTGTTCTGACCTTCTTGAACCCCTATCGGCGCACTTGAAGTTTTTGAAATATTTGGTTGACTCACAGTTCTCCGAGGTTGTTTGCCTTTATATTTAGTATCAGATCCCCTTCCCATATGCGGGAACTTGTGAGTTCCCAAATGAGGGCTTTCATACAAGAGATCCTCTGTTTGGGTTACCTGAATAGGATCAGAAACTGGAATATGTGATGAGTCAGAGTTCTTTAAATAGCTAGAGCCACTTTGAACAAATTGAAGTGAGTCGCCATTTGATAATGGTGGTCCTCCAGCCAAAAGACTTGTCCATAGCCACATGCTCTTCGCAGCAGCAACGAGCGGTGCAGATGCTTTCTGAGGTTGTGCTAGGAGAATATTATATTTCCTCATGCGCAGCTGATGCAGAGCATTAGAGAAGTCCCGATCACCAGAAATTAACAAATAATTAGCAGGTGCAGAATTGTCCACAGCCCAGAACAACATATCCACCAGAATCTTCTTGTCACTTGCATCCTTAACACCTATTACGTTAAATCAAAATCTATAATTTTTCCCAATTTAAAAAAGTAAACATTAATAGAAGTAATTGAGCCTGCAGTCAAAAAAGGTTCAAACACATAGAAGGAAAAATGATATGTGCATGTTAATAACAAAGCTACAGAGAGCAAACAATAGAATCCGTGACAAAAATAAATCCAGCTATACAACCAGTAGGCATTGTCTAGTTCATCCACGATGGTATCATTGCACCCTTGATGGAAACCATAAGCAGTAAATTGTCCATTATTGCAACTTGTTAATTGCCACAAAGCTCATGATTCACACACACACAGATCTCTTTATATGGAAAGAAGAAACTAACAACATCCAACAAAACAACTAGGAAAGATTGCTTCCCCCTGTTACTAGCTGCTATTTGATATCTACTGTTATTAGTAGTTATACTTGTTTTGGATATTTTGGGCTCTTTAATTATCATCATTGAAATAAAAAAATAAAAAGTGTGCACATAACGAAAATCATAAGCAACACCTCTCCTATTAATGCAAATAATGAACTGCCATAAAACCAATGTTCTGAAACCCAGACCATTGATCAAACCGGAAAAGTAACCGGGTCACTGGTCATTGGTTTAATCGTCAGGTGAAACGGAATTAAACCGTGACATCATAATTACCTAATAAATATATTAAAAATTATTTTTAATTTCAAAAATAAGAATTAAGATACATTCATTCAAAAAATATATATTTTACGATATATGTAATTTTATAAATATTTTTTACCAAATAAATATATTTATACATATATTTTTATATTGATGTTATTTGTAAAAATATTAATTATAATAGTATTTGAGAAAAAATATGTTGAATACAATAAATAACATACATCCACTATTAATATCAAATGCGATATGTTGGTCTAGTGGAAATGCGGCCAACTTATGCGTGCGGGGTGCTGAGTTCGATTCCTCACAATAGTTTATTGATGCATTGGAAGTTCAGCCGGCTTGCTCCACCTGACTCCAGTTCAGCGGTTAACTCGGTTTAACCACGGGTTTCACTGGTTTTAACGGAAGTTCAGCCGGTTTGCTCCGCCCAACTCCAGTTCGGCGGTTAACCCGGTTTAACCACAGGTTTCACCGGTTTCGTCAAAAGAAACCGATTTTTCAAATGAAATGGGTTTAAGGGTGTACCCAGACTGGAACTTGGACCGGTCAACAAATCAACCGGTCGAACCAACTAGTCCGGTCCGGTTATAAAAACATTGCATAAAACATATAAGATTAAGAGTCCAACATAAACAATCAAAATAATGGCAGATTTCTTCTATTATAAGCAGAGGTTTTGATTTTTCATCACTTTTTTTTTTTGATAGAATTTTTCATCACTTGTAATTAGCTTAATGTTGGGCTTGGACATTATTGGCATTTCTAAATCAAGAAACATAAACATGAATCATAAGCTTCCTATAGCAATTCGTTAGTTGCATTAATGATGCTTATGATGTCTGTGACAGGGCTGAAATGTGCAGCACAAGTATAACAACTAGAAACAAAAAATCAAACCTCAGCTAATAACAGAAGAACACATTATCATACATATTACATATTTTCATGAGAACCAAAAGAAAAGGTCATAATGATGAATCTGTCAAATCACATGACTCTGCAATATCACTTCACCTATCCAATCCAACAAATGTCTTTTTTAAAGTAGTGAAATTACATGTACATCCACTTCGCCTCTAGTTCTCAAGAAGATCCTTAATTGAAAGACATATTCCAAAATTGAATCTAAAGTCTTGTACTACGAGACTGGAAAGTTGTTAAAAGAAGTCAACTCAACTTCCTTTGAGTCATTGTTTCCTTACTTGAAAAGAACTCTTTTTTTTTTTTTTCTTTTTTTGGGCTTTTCTCCCTTTAAATGCGGAACTTTGGAGCTTAGTTTACTTAGCGGGATAACCTTATACCCTAAGAAGCAAGGACACGTGACACGATATGGACACAACACAGACACGTAGACACACAAATTTTCAAAAAATGTAGGACACGACACGTTGAGAACACGTGCAAAACATATAATTTTATATATTTATTACGTATCATATTTTTAAATATTTAATATTTATTTTATGTCAAATATTTAATTTTATCAAATTCATTAACCTTAAGTATGCTATTATAGTAAACAAAATTAAAATTCTAATTTTTTTTGAAAAAATTGGTACTCGGTGTGTCCTTTGCATGTCCCAGCGTGCCTCCAATGTGTCCTAGCGTGTCCGACACGTGCCTAGAGCGTGTCCAGTGCGAGTCGGACGCCTGTACGTCACCTCCAAAGAGGTGTCCGTGCTTCATAGCTTCTACCTAGAAAGAGGGCTCAAAGAGAGTAGAAATGCTTTCCTTCATGCGGAGTATGAACTTCCGATTCCAGGCTGCTACTATACAAGGAAGATTGCTTACGACATCAATCAGCTAGGTCCATCTGTTGAATAACCTTTTCAATGCATCCAATATACCGAGTCGGACTAAGGTGAAGTGTCTCTCACTTTCAAGTTCATTGGCTAGCAATATGCCGACAGGTTTAGAATTGGACCCTCGCACCAACAAAAATCAGAGCTCTCTAAAAAAAGACAGGATGGACAAACCAAAAAATGAGACATTTGCAATTGGTCTCCCTGGGGGGAAAAGTCACTTGCTTCCAAAGATAGGAAGCGCGCAAGGAAAAAGTCATAAAAAAACAAAAGAAGGCACTACTTTCAAAGAAACATTAAAGAACAAGACATATCCGGTAATAACAAATAAGAGCCACCATTGTCTAGAGGAACTATAACTACCAATCAATGGTAAATCAAAACACACATGGAAAAGTCACTTGCTTCCAAAGATAGGAAGCACAAGGAAAACGTTGTAATAAACAAAAGAAGACACTACTTTCCCAAAAAAATTAAAGAACAAGCCGTATCCAGTAATAACTAATAAGAGCCAACATTGTCCGCAGGAAATATAACTACCAATTAACGGTAAATCAAAACCTCAACCACCGTGGAAAAACACACATGCTATACATATGAGAACCAAAGTAATGGATTAGTTGCAAGTCATCAAAAAATATGAGATTCTACAATGTAACACAAAGATTAAAAATTAAAGCAGGGGTATCCAACCCCACCTAATCAAAAACATTCTTGCACGAGTAGAATTCAAGAAGTTTAGAGAGATGTAACATTCTGGATTATAGAAAGAACTGATCAAATAGTTCAGAGACTATAAAAGTAAAGACTTGACATTTTCACCTAAAAAACAAAATCCAGTACCTAAGCCCAAAAATTTCTCATCTAAATAAAAAGCAAAGAAAATTAAAAGATGTGTCTTTTTTATTTCTTACTCATCCAAACAAAAGGGCCAAAAATCACAAATCATTTCTTTTCTTTTCTCACCTGGGTGAGAAACCATAATCTTCTCATTTCTTTTTTCACCTAATTTACCAAAGGGATTATAAAAGGACCACACGATGTCAGGGCAGGCAGTGAAACTGAGATACAGAGAAAACATGGTAAAAAAATTAGAATAAATTGAAGGAATTAGGCACATAGTACTGATCATCAACACACACACACACATCCATTCCTGTTCCATAAAGAGAGATCTCATCATCAACAGACACATAAATACTCAAAACGATTCAAAATTTGACCCCAAATTAGAGATTACACATCAAAGCCACAAAGCATAAACTGAAAAATAAAAAAATATATATATTAGGTACATATTGACCCGATCATCTTATCCGATCAAAAAATTCAACAACTTCAACAAACAATACACATACATCTACACAATTCAATCAAAACCACAATTGAAACAAAAACTCAACATGACAGCAACAATTCGTCCCGATCCGATCACACCAAAGATCAAAGCACACAACTTTCTACTCCAACTCAACAATTCATCAGAATCAAGAGCATAAACTCGAATCGATGTATATATATACCTGCAGGGACATGATTAAGGGCTATGCCGGTGCTGTTGAGGGCTTGTTGAACAGTGGTCGGAATCCTAGTGGTGTCGCCGTAGGCGGTGATGGAGACGGGACCACAGTAGTTCATCTTGACAAGTGCGGAGCTAATGTTCTGAGCGATCGAGTGGGGTTCGCAGCCTTTGGGGACTTGACAGTTCTCGATGTCCCACCACACCGATATCTTCGCCTTCTGGTACTGTGGCTCCGCCATTTCCGCCGCCGCCGACGCCGGAAATCCGCCGTTGTTTCCACCGGCGCCACCCATTCTTCGCGAATCCCAATGATAGCGGTTTTGCTGCTGCACAGACCACAAGCGCACGATAGCACATACAGATAGATAGATAGATAGATAGATTTACCCGTTCCTCTCCCTCTCTCTCTCTAGAAAACCGGACTAATGTATATGACGTATCGTCTGCGCAATGGACCCTTTTTCGCATGTTGTGGCATGAAATTACGATTTTGTCCTTGATTGGTCGTGGTCGTTGGGATTGACGTATGAGGTTACTGTATATGATTAACATACATACGTTAAGAATACGTGCCTTTACTGTTTTCGAGTGGAATTCACCCCAAAAAAAAACATTTCCTGTCTTGACTATGGGCATTTTGGTTAAAAAATAAGCAGCAAGAATCGGATCAAATCCATTTTATTGAAACAACGGTTAGACCATCTCCAACAGTTCATCAAACTCAGCATCAAATTTAAAATTTGGTGAAAAAGTTACTATTTGATGCTCCAATGGTTGCACCAAATCGATATCAAAATGAGATTTCACCAAACATTCCATCAAACTGAGAATAGGCGAAGCATTTTACCAAATCACTGTAACTGACCGTTGGGGTGATACCAACCGGTCGACCAGCCGGTTGATCGGCCGGTTGACCAACCGGTCAATCAATAAAAGATTCAAACAGTTTAGAAACAGTTAAAAAAAAAAAAATTTCCCTAACCGGTCAACCAGCCGGTCGACCGGCCGGTCAACCACCCGGTCGTCCCGAAAAAAGTTCAGAAAGTTCAACAAAAACGATTCAGACAATTAAAAAAAAAAAAATTCTTCTGGTCGACCGGCTAGTCAACCACCCGGTTGTCCCGGGACAGATTTGGTGAAAAGTGAACCGTTGGAACATCTGGTACCAGATTTGGTGAAATGAGTCATTTTTTACTCAGATTTGACGAAAAATCTGATTCACCGTTGGAGATGCTCTTATTCCAACTGGTAAAAACCCTTTACAACACTAACATCTAATTTCTAAGTCTCACTACCCCTTCACCTCATTTTGCCCGTCCTCCTCCAATATTAGAATATGTTTGTTGACTTTTTTTTTTTTACTTTTAAAGGTTAATAATATAAATTTATACGTGTCACTAAGGATCAATTAGTCCTTACATAAGTCATAATTGTCAACCAATTATTAAACGATTATGTTAAAGTTCTTTCAGTCTCAATGAATAGGACTTTTACTGATGGCTTGTTTTAGGAGAAAATTATGAATAGTAACACGTAAATATAATTCAAAAACTGAATTTCATTAAACAAATAAAAACTTACAATGAAATTACAATGGCCTAGTCTCGACGAGGTTCACAGTAACAAACTACTGAAAAACTATTCCTAGAAATTGAAGTGCAGTACAGGAATTGAAATGCTGGAAATGTAAAGAACTAGAAAGAAAATATAAAATAAATAACTGGTTTTCTAGATGTGAGCCTGGGTCCTTATTCTGGGGCCTTCATTGCTATTTATACTTCCTAGCGGTAACCGTCGAAGTGAGCTTCCAACCGCCGAAATGTCCTCTCATGATTGCTGAACATGCTTTCTCACAATCAGTTCCACTATGTCACTCCTGGAGTTAGGCTTCCCTCTTGATTTTGAATTTAAATTTATAAGTGTCACGACCCAAACCCGGCCCCATGGGTTTAGCACCGTAATCGGCCAGTAATCCGAGATTACCGAAGGCCTGCTTAACAGTAGTACAGTAAAATAGAGTACAGGGCGCGGCGGAAGCCAATACAGTAATTAAACAATGCCCAATGAGCTGTGACAGTCTGTATGCAAAAGGACTTTCCAAACACATTTACATTTATATACAATCATTCAGAATAGGGACCCAATCCCTATGTAACGGTACAGTAAACATTCAGTCTATACAATCCATTTGGTTATTACAAAACAGCAAGACAGTACAGAAGGGGGAGTCCTAAAACACCCCTAAGCCTTAGCATGATAGCTGTGGAAACCTCGCCATGAGGCACACAACACTTCTGGTAGTTGCTTGACAAACTGGAGTTAACGCCTGACGCACTCCTAGCCAGCGTCTGTGCGTCTGAAACCTACATAATATATGAGCACGTGAGCTAGAACCCAGTGGAAATAACATAATGCATTAACAGAGGTTAAGAATGAATGTCCTGTTACAGTATGAAATATGCATTAAATCAGGTATATTCAGTCGTTTCAGTCAGTAACAGTTCATATGTGGTAGCGATCCATTTAGCATACATACAAGTACATAACAGAGCGTCTTGAAAGACCGGAGCAGTAATGATGGCCATCATCAGTAAAACAGTAGTCGTTCCAACAATGGAACCGACAGAGATCTCTGTAACAGTAACAGTAGCAGTAGTTGCTAAGGATGCCACAATACAGTTCAGAACATAGGACATACATTCATTCAATTAACAGTATCAGTTCAGAAAGTAATACAGTTCAATTGTTCAGAAGATAATCATTTCGAACATATCTTTACACAGTTGTTACTCACAGAGTTTGGGCTACAGTATGCTAGAGCGTGCCTCCCCAGTCGCCAACCCTACACAGTTAACAGATTGAACACACCAGGCTACACAGCTGGGAAAGATAATAACTTAATCCCTAATTTGCCTTGGTGTGTTCTATATCTATATCCTCAATAAGATGTCTTAAACTAGGCCTAAGAATGCCTGGAATGGGATGAGGATGCAAAGATGTACTTTTAAAAGCATTTTTAGATTTTTCAGAAAACAGAGGTCACGCTCGAGCGTAGGTCACTCCGCTCGAGCGGACATGCAGACAAAAGTACCCGCTCGAGCGTACTGCAAAAGTACTGGATGGGTGAAATCTCCGCTCGACGGACGCTCGACGCCCGCTCGAGCTTGAGACACAAGACTTCGCTCGAGCACCCAGTCCTCCGCTCGAGCAGATTGTAAAACAGTGCAGAGATACTGGATTCTCGGATTCCACGCTCGAGCGGGAGTGCAAAATCTGGAAATTCCAGATTGCACCTCCAAGCTCAAACTCAAACTCAAATGCATCAAAACCGATCCTCTTGGGCCCATTTTCTGGAAAACTCTTATAAACTCATAGTTAAACATGATTCAAAACTCAATTTGAGAAGTCAAAGCCCAAGGGTGTTTAATCAAACCCAATTTCAAACCAATTTTTCAAGAACAATCTTCAAACATGACATGCATGATCTTCAAATAACTTTCAAGCTTCAAAACATACTCTAATGAGCCAATTGATTCACAAACATGATGAAAACATGGCCTACACTCAAAACATGGACATGCATGTGACGATTTTCCAAGAACTCAACTCAAAATCCAACAATACTAACGTGCATGCAAGGAATGAGCTTCATTTCAACAACAATGAACCAAAACATGACTTAGTTCTACGAAAACATGGCCTACACTCAAAACATGGACATGCATGTGACGATTTGCCAAGAACTCAACTCAAAATCCAACAATACTAACATGCATGCATGAATTATGCTCTATTTCAACATGCTAGAACTAATCCATGGCTCAATTCATAAACAAGAGGATAATTACTATACCTTAGGTCTTGAATTAGAAGACTAGGAGCTCACTTTAGCAATCTACCCTTCAATCCTCTCATTCCAAGCAAGATCAAGCAAAAAGTGATGAAGACACTCTCACTCCCTCTCTCAAGTCGGTGGTATGCTCAAAATGAGCTGAGCAAAAGTGTTTTAATTCAATGTATAAGGCTCAAAAGTGCATAGATAATGGCCACTAAGTGGTCTAATTGTAATTAAGTCAAACTTTGCAATTAACCCAATATTTAATCTAATTTAATCATACTAAATCAAATTCCAGGTAAATACACCATAAAATCACATAATTATGAGGGTCAAGAAACCTCAATCAATTCCCGGATTCAGCCGCGGATAGGGCCTTCAATTAACAATTAAAAGCATAAAAAGGTGAACAGATAATCAAACAATCAAACAGATAAATGCACAAGTAAACAGATATACTCAGTCAATTCAGTTCTAGATTTCAGTCAGTCAGTTCAGTATTTCAATCAGTTCGCTTATCAGTCATAATCAGTTCAGTTTAACGGTAATCAGTGGTTATGCGGTAAACAATGGTGAGGGTTATTACAGTCTCCCCTCCTTAAAAAGAGTTTAGTCCTCTAAACTCGAGTTACCTTCGTTCTGGAAGAAAAAAAGATTCTGTGGAAATAGCTCAGGATATCTTTTGGCCATGTCATCTTCCCTTTCCCAAGTGGCATACACGCCACCATGGTTTTGCCAGTCGACTTTCACTAGCGGGATCTCTTTGTTTCTCAACTTCTTGATCCGTCTGTTTACAATCTGTATGGGATGTTCCGCGTAAGTGTAGTCATCACTTAGCACCACACGAGTAGGCTCTATCACATGAAAAGGATCCCAGAGGTAGTCCCTCAACATAGAAATGTGGAAGACGTTATGCATATGCTCCAGTTCGGGAGGAAGTGCAACTTGATACGCCACCGGATTGATTTTCTCAATAATCTCATATGGTCCGACGTATCTCGGTGCTAACTTGCCTTTGACTCCAAAGCAAGTCTGGCCTTTCATTGGTGTCACTTTCACAAATACGTGATCACCCACTTCATACTCTCTGTCTCGTCTTCTGACATCAGCATAACTCTTCTGTCTGCTCTGCGCAGTTTTCAGTCTCTGTTGTATCAGTTTCACTTTCTCAGTCGTTTCATATACAATCTCGGGTCCAAGCAAAGGCCCATCTCTAACTTTTGCCCAGCAAATTGGAGATCTACATCTTCTGCCATACAATGCCTCGAAAGGCGCCATGCCAATACTCGAGTGATAGCTGTTGTTGTAAGCAAATTCAGCTAAGGGCAAATGACTTTCCCAGTTTCCCTGAAAATCAAGGACACACATTCTCAATAAGTCCTCCAGAGTCTGGATGGTCCTTTCTGAC